AGCAAAATGGCAGAGCTTCATTTGATCTGTAGCAGGTCAACAACACAGATTTTGGCTGTATAGTGAAAATGTTTAGTTTCATGATATCTCATAAATTGAACTGTATCCCTGAATCTACTCATTGACAACGCCGATCCTTTATTAGTGGATGAGAATCCTGTCTAGCTAATGATGCGAAGAAAACATGCGACCTCAGAGTCAGCCTAAGCATGCAGGTGATTCGAAAATGGTATATCAGATTCTTCTACGACAGTAGTTTCACTTACTGTTCTAAAAGTCAAACTTGCTGATACTCCATTAGTTCTCTCGCACTCTTTCATTGTTTTACTTTGAATGACATCAAATAAAGATGAAATTATCCAAAAAATAAATAAAAACATGAAAATGAAACGAAATTCATCGATTTATTCAAAAAACATAACGAATATAATTGTACTTCTGAATAAACTACACACATAATTTAAACTTAACTTAACATATTAACAACATCCTTATTGTATATATCTGATATGTACATTAAGCAACGAATTAGTCACACATAGCAGCAGTCAGTCACCAACGGAATATCGAGTTAACAAATAACACCAAAAATGAATGAAAAACAAACGAATATCCCAAAAAATGGTACAAAATGATTTCAAAACGGCTTAAACACCTCAAAAATCAACATGAATATTATGAGTAAGCATTCAACTGATTGTGAGCAAGGAACCATAATTACAGTACTCGGACAATTTGCTTAAAGGCGTTTTGCCTAAGGACAATTTGCCTATTAGACAAAATATCCATTAAAAACCGTCCGTTAGGCAATCTGTCTTTAGGCAAGTTGTCGTTAGACAAAACATTTATAGGCAAATTGTCCGGTCACGATAATTCCTTGCACGAAATTCCACATAATTTGAACATTTTCAGGCGAACAAACAACTCTAGAACCACCAATGTATCCATATTAATATTCCTTTTAAAATCAATAAAACAGAAAAAATTCATCAACAACACTTCTTCAAATATTGGAACGACCGAAATTAGATCCTTGAAACAACCGTCATTGATTTGAACTGTTAAGTTTTGATGTGAAACATTGAAAATCGGAAACTGATGTAAACACCGAAAATTTTCCACATCTTTAAAGAGAACTGAATGAAATTACCCATTAGAGTAAGGAATGACGGAAAAGTTTCAGTCAGTAGCCTACTTCACCAGGAAATCGAATCATCAAAGAGAAATTTTAACAACTGATTTTCCCACTACTTGATGGAGGAGCGCCGGAATAACTTCGGTCAGTAACACTACAAAAAATAATTTCTCGCATTCTACCAATTTGATCTTCCAGCGATTTGGCTTGATTCTTCAACACTTCAATATTTCGTTGCAGCCATTCGGCCTCTTCCCTAAAATAATATCAACTTAAATTGTGCTCGATGCAATGACAACAACCAAACGGATCAATCAGTCACCTGTCATTTTTGGACTTATCGCGGATTTTGCGTCGATACCTCGCAGCAGCAATTCGATTCTGTTGACGTTTCCGTTCGCTGATCTCGATCGATGACATTCCCGAGAGCGATATTGGTGCAGATCGTCGTTTCGAGTTCATCGCAGCTGTTGAAGAGTCGTTATCCTTCAAACGTACGCACATACTTACAGATAAGTTGATGCGAAAGCAGATAGCATACTTAATC